AGAAGAGAGGCTTGAAGAAGTAGCCCTGTCATTTTCTTTTTCCTGTTTGATTTGTTTGTGTTAGAAAGAGTAAGAAAACAAGGTGCTGATGGAATTTAAATCTACTTATATGATTCTTCCTACAGTTTATGTGTCACAACTTTGTAAAGATTACTATTTCTGTTCATTACTTTTCATTTTGTGGTTAAATGTTGTATCTTTATGTAGGATATGAATCTCTGTTACTGCCATCATGTGTTTATCTTTTTCTTTCCTGATTTTTAGCACTTCTTAACATGATTGAGGCTCCTCTATCTTGGCTCCACTATACTTGGTGCTATTGATTAGCAGTGTTTCAATTGTATTAGGACAATGTTTATTGGATGCAGATCTCCTCTATTACGTTTTCACTGTGTGGCTGTCAAAAGTCATTATCTAAGGAGTTCAGGTTACCATGGTGGTGACCCCTTTGCTAAGAATGAGTTGTCTTGTTTGTTAATGGCCCGGCCTAACTGGTATTTTGATCAGCATTTGGGTGTATTATATTGCATTTTGAAAATGAAGCTCCATAGGTTGTGCTCCATACNCTGGTATTTTGATCAGCATTTGGGTGTATTATATTGCATTTTGAAAATGAAGCTCCATAGGTTGTGCTCCATACCGCCCTAGTAGACAACAGGACACATGCTTTAATAATAATCAACTTGGTACTGTATAGAACATAAGCTTAAGCCTATGGACAGTTGAAGCAAGATTGGGAATTGCTGGGAGCCAGGCCAATGGGTTGAATCGACGACAAAAGCTCTCAGAACATATAACGACTAGGACCAACAATAAGTTATGTTGTATTAAGTTTAATAGTGCTTATATTTCATTTGTAGTCTGATTTATGTTGTATGTACTCGTGTTCATCTTAGTTTATATCATTTTGCCGGGTTTGTATCGATTTTTTAGAGCTAAATTCCAATCTAGTAAAATTCTGCAACTAGTGTCGTGTTGCATATGTGAATTGTGCCTAGAGTTGTAATAACTCATTAATAATACAAATTCAGTGGTTCTTTGTTCTTTGAAGCATAGGTTGGTATGCTCCAATGGGTATTTGGGCTTGGTATGCTATGACCAACCACGAGCACCTTTGAGGACAAGCTAGAGAAACATTTTCACTCATTCGTTGTTTCAATTCGTCGGTCATCAGTGTCACTAGGTTTTGTGAAGAAATCGCCCACTTGGTTGAGGAACTCCACCGAGAATTGGCTGTGCATGTAACTGAGTGGCTCACTGGGCGACAAATTGGCTCATTAGCGATCATCAGTAGGGATGTCTATGAGCCAGGTTATTCACGGGTTTCATTACTTGGCCCGAAGTCTGATAGACCCGATAGTTGGCCCGTCCAAGCCCGAGTCCAATATCTCTTAAAAGAGGTCTTGAATTTGTCCCTAAACACATTACTCGGCCCAAAACCCTGTCCGTCAAGCCCAGCCCAACCTACCTACTTTTCTTTTGAAAAAAAATTATACTTTTAGACCATTAAANCATGAAAATCTTTCTTGATGGAAATGGATACTCACCAATGAACAGCTACAATTTGTAGTCACTCAATTAGCTTTAATCTTAACCAGTGGGATAGAACCTACTTCTCGTGGAATTTGGAATCTGACAAGGTGGCTCCTTTTGGATCTCCAGTAACCCCCTGGTGACAAAATGTTCAAGTGGGAGTTGTAGAAGAGAGGCTTGAAGAAGTAGCCCTGTCATTTTCTTTTTCCTGTTTGATTTGTTTGTGTTAGAAAGAGTAAGAAAACAAGGTGCTGATGGAATTTAAATCTACTTATATGATTCTTCCTACAGTTTATGTGTCACAACTTTGTAAAGATTACTATTTCTGTTCATTACTTTTCATTTTGTGGTTAAATGTTGTATCTTTATGTAGGATATGAATCTCTGTTACTGCCATCATGTGTTTATCTTTTTCTTTCCTGATTTTTAGCACTTCTTAACATGATTGAGGCTCCTCTATCTTGGCTCCACTATACTTGGTGCTATTGATTAGCAGTGTTTCAATTGTATTAGGACAATGTTTATTGGATGCAGATCTCCTCTATTACGTTTTCACTGTGTGGCTGTCAAAAGTCGTTATCTAAGGAGTTCAGGTTACCATGGTGGTGACCCCTTTGCTAAGAATGAGTTGTCTTGTTTGTTAATGGCCCGGCCTAACTGGTATTTTGATCAGCATTTGGGTGTATTATATTGCATTTTGAAAATGAAGCTCCATAGGTTGTGCTCCATACCGCCCTAGTAGACAACAGGACACATGCTTTAATAATAATCAACTTGGTACTGTATAGAACATAAGCTTAAGCCTATGGACAGTTGAAGCAAGATTGGGAATTGCTGGGAGCCAGGCCAATGGGTTGAATCGACGACAAAAGCTCTCAGAACATATAACGACTAGGACCAACATTAAGTTATGTTGTATTAAGTTTAATAGTGCTTATATTTCATTTGTAGTCTGATTTATGTTGTATGTACTCGTGTTCATCTTAGTTTATATCATTTTGCCGGGTTTGTATCGATTTTTTAGAGTTAAATTCCAATCTAGTAAAATTCTGCAACTAGTGTCGTGTTGCATATGTGAATTGTGCCTAGAGTTGTAATAACTCATTAATAATACAAATTCAGTGGTTCTTTGTTCTTTGAAGCATAGGTTGGTATGCTCCAATGGGTATTTGGGCTTGGTATGCTATGACCAACCACGAGCACCTTTGAGGACAAGCTAGAGAAACATTTTCACTCATTCGTTGTTTCAATTCGTCGGTCATCAGTGTCACTAGGTTTTGTGAAGAAATCGCCCACTTGGTTGAGGAACTCCACCGAGAATTGGCTGTGCATGTAACTGAGTGGCTCACTGGGCGACAAATTGGCTCATTAGCGATCATCAGTAGGGATGTCTATGAGCCAGGTTATTCACGGGTTTCATTACTTGGCCCGAAGTCTGATAGACCCGATAGTTGGCCCGTCCAAGCCCGAGTCCAATATCTCTTAAAAGAGGTCTTGAATTTGTCCCTAAACACATTACTCGGCCCAAAACCCTGTCCGTCAAGCCCAGCCCAACCTACCTACTTTTTTTTTGAAAAAAAATTATACTTTTAGACCATTAAATTTGAAACTTTGAAATAAGTCTCTCAATATCGAAATTTAAAGTTTTAAAAATTTAGATATTATAAATAATGTATTATTTTTTTTTCGTGTATTAAGCATATAAGTTTTAAATGGTAGAGTAATACAAATGATAGATAAGTTAGTAGATGTCCGTGTCAACATAGTTGAGATTTATTTATTTTATTAGATGTAGTTCATTATTTTATTTTTATCCATTTTAAATTTACTTTTGATTCAAAAATATAATTTACACAAATATTAAGATGCAAAAATATTCATTATTTTTAAATAAAAATATATATAAAAAAGCCCCACAACACAGTCCCGCCCACAAGCCTGCCCACAAGCCCGTTTAATAGGGCCACGGGTTGGGCTGTGGCCTGCAGATAGCCTACCCCTACCCGAAGTTCGGCCCGATCCGTTCGATAACTCACTTGGGTAAGGGCTTGGGCCTATACTACCCAGGCTCAGCCCGAAAAGAATTTAGCGGGCCTAGCCCGGTCCGGACCATAGACACCCATAATCATCAGTATCATTGAGGAAAAGAAAAAAGATAAGAAAGTGTGGTGCTTTTTAATGTCCCCCACATTTATATAATAGGGTCTTTTAGAAGTCGGTACACTAAATTAAACATAATTATAAAAAAGTATACAAAAAAAAAAATGTGTTGTGAAGAAGTATATTGCTGAGATACAAAGACTTTAACTATCCATTTTCTAATATTTACTTTCTTAAAAAACGGTTTTAAGAATATATCTTAACATTAATTATGTACACAGGCTTAATCATTAGATTTTAAGAACATTACTTTCTTAAAAACGGTTTTAGGAATATATCTGAAAATTAATTACAGCTTCAAGAATATATCTTAAAAATAATTAGGTACACAGTGATAAGGTTTAACCACTGATTTTTAAGAAAATTAATTCACCAAAGTTAACATTTCTTCTTCCTATCTAAAAACTTTTTCATCTTCCTCGGCGAGAAGCCCTAAATCGTCCTCTGAATATCCACAGGGTTTCGCATTTGAAAGGAAAATACTATTGGTCTGCCATTGTAGATATAAATTTGTCCGTATTTTTCGTATAGTATAACAAAGATAGTGTAACAATACAATGTAATTAGTGTTATCAGAATTGGATCGGACTAGCCGGTCAAACCGATTAAAGAGTGAATCGGAGTCTAGACTGATCCGATTCTTGAGTTGGACTGTATAGGCATGGGGAGTGTTTTTAAACCATTAAACTGAGCGATTTTTATGAAAACCGGTGAACTGGCGGTTTGATTGAACATATACCCAATTTGCTAAAACCTTGGGGAGAGGGAGAGGGAGAGGGAGAGGGAGAGAGGAGATGGTTTCTGGTGGAGCAATGTTATCATATGAAGGAGCTAACGGTTCTCTCATGCGAAGATTTACATAAAGGAAGACAGTATTGAAAAAAATCCCTCTTTTTTAGGGCATTTTTGCCCTAATCTGATTCAATTCCAGTCGATCCTCCAAGCAGCGGTCCTCCCAAAGCTACAACTCAAGCGAGTGGCGATGGCCCCGGCGAACACTCAGGTGATCTCCTCTCTTGAGTTGTGACGGCTCAAGCGATTTTCCTCTTGAGTGGAGATGGCTCAGGCAACTGATTTATCCTTACTTTCTTGAATGGGAAGTCTCTCTCTCATAAAGGGATCACCTCATTNTATATCTTAAAAATAATTAGGTACACAGTGATAAGGTTTAACCACTGATTTTTAAGAAAATTAATTCACCAAAGTTAACATTTCTTCTTCCTATCTAAAAACTTTTTCATCTTCCTCGGCGAGAAGCCCTAAATCGTCCTCTGAATATCCACAGGGTTTCGCATTTGAAAGGAAAATACTACTGGTCTGCCATTGTAGATATAAATTTGTCCGTATTTTTCGTATAGTATAACAAAGATAGTGTAACAATACAATGTAATTAGTGTTATCAGAATTGGATCGGACTAGCCGGTCAAACCGATTAAAGAGTGAATCGGAGTCTAGACTGATCCGATTCTTGAGTTGGACTGTATAGGCATGGGGAGTGTTTTTAAACCATTAAACTGAGCGATTTTTATGAAAACCGGTGAACTGGCGGTTTGATTGAACATATACCCAATTTGCTAAAACCTTGGGGAGAGGGAGAGGGAGAGGGAGAGGGAGAGAGGAGATGGTTTCTGGTGGAGCAATGTTATCATATGAAGGAGCTAACGGTTCTCTCATGCGAAGATTTACATAAAGGAAGACAGTATTGAAAAAAATCCCTCTTTTTTAGGGCATTTTTGCCCTAATCTGATTCAATTCCAGTCGATCCTCCAAGCAGCGGTCCTCCCAAAGCTACAACTCAAGCGAGTGGCGATGGCCCCGGCGAACACTCAGGTGATCTCCTCTCTTGAGTTGTGACGGCTCAAGCGATTTTCCTCTTGAGTGGAGATGGCTCAGGCAACTGATTTATCCTTACTTTCTTGAATGGGAAGTCTCTCTCTCATAAAGGGATCACCTCATTTCTTCTCTTCTCCTCTTCACTCTTTCTCACATCTTTTGCAACGACACGGAAGATGAGAGAGTATAGTGTACACCATAGTTGTTGGGTCCCTTTTCTCAAATAGTTTTTGGAGTTTTCTTTTTTTGCCTTATTTACTCTCTTGCCCCTTTCTAATTTGTTCCAAAGAATATTTGATAGAAAATAGAATAAATAAATTAGAGTGAAAATATTTTATATTTTTTAAGGTAAATTACTTATGTTTTATAATTTTTAATTATACTTCCGGTTCGACTAGTTGATCCAACGATTGAACCATTGATCCGATCTTTTTGCCGGTTTGATGTTCAGTCCGATTCTGATAATATTGAGTGTAACACTATAATATAGACATTGTTCAGTAATTTTATAGATGAAGTAACAAATTCAAAATAGAGCTGGACTGTATAAGTAAAATTTTACAATATTATTGTTACATTGTAAATGTATATATAGGATGAACTTTGGTTATAATGTTCGCATATAAAAAAATAATCACTAATGTTATTAGGACATAATTTATGGACACAATTTAGAAACATAATGAGTTGTCACCAATGAAATGATAGTGAAATGCATTTAATTATGGGTCCCATTGTAGCATTAATGAATTTAATATCATATCATTGGTGACAACTCATTATGTCATCAAATTATGTCTCAATAGCATTACTCAAAAATAATATAATTATCTTTAAAATGACATACATAAATCTAATAGAATCATAAATTCAAACCTTATAATTGTTTAGATTGAATGATAAACATGAAAATAAATGTTTCGGACATGTATTGATAAATTGCTTCCAGGCCGAAGAAGAAGAAGACAACAAATGATATTGTTGAAAAATTTAAAATTCAAATCAACTGATTTATTCCCAAAATAAATGGAAGGTCAAATCTTTCATTAAATTAGGAGATTTTTAATACATAAATATAATTTGAAAAAAAAAATAGTTTTCAAAAATAATCGCATGATTTAAGGGAGGATACAAATGCCAAAGAAAAATCTTAAAATTTCAAATTATATACTTGTACACAATTAAGATCTAAAATTAATAATTTCTTTACTTTACATTTTTTTCTGTATATCTTTTTATAATTAAATCTAATTTAGAGTACGCTCTGCTAATTTACTGTGTACAATATAGTACAGGACCAATACTATGTACGGTAGCTGGGCCTCAATATATAGCAAACAAGGCCAGGCCCTGGCCCATTACGTACATCCCAGATCAACAGTTTACAAAACGAAAAAATAAATAGAAAAATGAATAAGAAATTAATTTAAAAAACCCATTATGCCCCTAAAACCCTAACCCCTTCCCCAAGCTCTCTCATAAACCCTTTTCTTTCTCTGTCTCTGCTCTCTGTCTCTCTCATTTCGTTTCGCTGGTGATCGGCTTCCGTCAGGTACACGATCTTCATCTTCTTCTTCTCTCTCTCTCTCATTCTTTGGCTGTGTAACTCTCAGAAATTGGGGAAAATGAATTTCAAGAACGTGAAGATTCCAAATGTTCCGGGTGGTGGTGCGGCTTCTGCTTTGATCAAGTTTGGAGCAATTGCTGGGCTTGGCATATACGGAGCTGCTAACAGTCTCTACAATGTTGATGGAGGAAATCGAGCTATTGTCTTCAACCGTATTATTGGCGTCAAAGATAAGGTTATTATCTTGATTTTCACAATTTACGCTATACATTTTGTCATTTAGTTTTATTTCTTTATGTATCCTTCCACGGTAATTTACCCCTTTTGTTTTACTTGAAGGAGAAGTACTGAGCTGGCTAGTGTAATGTTTTCTCAGTGGTTTCCTTTATTTTGATGATTTCAACAATTCGTTCAGTGGATGAATAGTTTAGGGTCTCAGTACTCATTAGTTTTTCTTAGTAAATCTGTTTAAGCATTGATTTTACAGTTTGAAACTGATTCTTCGAGGTAACATTTAGATTGAAATATTTGAAATGAACGCATATGGGCTAGGACTCATAAGCATGTGAAAGAATTGGTCATTAGAGTTGGGTTGGGGGAGATGAACGTGAGGATAGACTAGAGCTAGGCAATTATATCCAACTACAGTCCTTGTGTGATTAGTCTATCATGGATGGATTTCGAGTAACTCGTTCCACCTGGTTATTTCAAATCTTCTAAAACAAGGCTCTGAATTTCATCCATAGTCTGCTTGAAACTCGAGAAAACTGCAATTCTTATTCATTGACTAGTATTCTGTTTATCTTAATGATTCAGACGTTAACATGAGATTGTAGTGGAAGCATTTATTGCTCAATGGCAGACAAACCCGAGAATTTTTGTACNGAGAAAACTGCAATTCTTATTCATTGACTAGTATTCTGTTTATCTTAATGATTCAGATGTTAACATGAGATTGTAGTGGAAGCATTTATTGCTCAATGGCAGACAAACCCGAGAATTTTTGTACAGATATTACATGACAGTTTTTAGACAACATGATCATAAATTTTTGATACATTCATCTGCACAGATAGTTACATATACATTTTTTATGCATGCACGCACGCACCCTCACAATGCTATTATGTATGCTTACTTTCATTATTTTTACTACAATTTTGATTTGTCTTTAAAGGTAAGGTTCATATATGGCTTGTCCAATCCTTATCTAACTTATGCCATTCTTTTTTCTGCCGCATGTATGATTTTATTTTAGTCCTCGAGCCTAGGACTAAAGATGTCCAATGGTACTTCTTGTCTTGTAAAGACTTTGTCTTCTTAATGTCAAGAGTTCAAATCCCCCTCCCCATTCCCATTCCCCCCTCCCCCCCCCAAAAAAACATATTTGAAAAAAAAAAAAAAAAAAAGATGTCCAACTGCAGGATAATGGACACCAGTTTTCTTGAATAGTGCCCATGCTACTTAGATGAGGGGGACATAGTTTCTTTTTCTAGATAAAAAGTTTCAGCAGATTTAGATACTTTCAATTTTCAGTAGATCATTTAATTCCTAGAATATATCTTTATTCATTTTCATTTGAAGACATGAGGTGTTTGTTGGACAACCAATTGGTTTGAGACCGAAATCCTACTCTTGGCTTTGTTCAACATGAGGACTTCTTACAGTCTTAATTGGATTGTAAGACACCTTCTTGTTGATGCATTTGAGTGGATTGTTGATGCGAGAAGTTCCCTGGATTGCTTTGGCTGTTGTATGGATGCTATATACGCTTCTCGCTTCTCGTCCCTTTTCAATCTGCCGTGATTCTCCTAAAATTAACCTATGGAAATTTTTTGGTATTTTATTTTTTTCAGCATTGTCTAATTGTTGCATCAACTAGGGTATGCAAAATTGATGTGATTGACGCCTTCTTCTCTTTCTTTATGAATGAAGGGAATTCTTTATTCCATATTATATTCTCCTTACCCTAATAGTTGTTGAATGGCGTGTAATTTTCTTGAGCTCGATTTTTGTGTTTCATGTATTGTCAAGGTGTTTAATTTTATTTCGCTCTTGTTTTTCATTANTTTTTTTGAGCTCGATTTTTGTGTTTCATGTATTGTCAAGGTGTTCAATTTTATTTCGCTCTTGTTTTCATTATATGCTGTTAGTTGTTGTTGCCATGTGCTTATATGTCGGATGAATAGGTTTATCCTGAAGGAACGCACCTGATGATCCCGTGGTTTGAAAGACCAATCATATATGATGTTCGTGCACGACCCCATCTGGTGGAGAGCACTTCGGGTAGTCGTGATCTCCAGATGGTGAAAACTCTCTCTCTCTCTCTTCCCCCCCCCCCCCTTTTTCTCTTTTTACATGTGTGTGGGTGTAAACTGCAATTCTCTATTTATTTCAACATATTTAGAGCTGTGGTTGCAACATTCATATTTAATAGGCACTATATTATCGTTATTTGTTGGTTTTTTTTTTTATAGCATACTTAAGAGTTACATCCTTCGTTTTTAGTTTTAAAGAAGGGCTTATTTAACATTTTCGGTTAGAGCTACAAATTGACTTCATGTTTGATAAATGTCAAAATTAATAAATTGGTGCAATATTGTTGGTAGTTCATTTACCTAAATATGCCGGTTGTTCATCGGACAATCTCTTTCTTGACTCGGTAGATAAGGCTTACAAAAAGGTATTTTAAATGTTGGAAAACACTAGTTAAGAATAGTAAGAATTAAGTGGTGCTGTGCACATCTTTATAGACATTCTTAATCTAGTAATCCATTCACAATTCCGCGTGTTCACAACCTGTATTTATGGGATTTCTTCATTGTTTCCGGACTACTTGAAAGCTTCTTGCTTTTGACTTAATTATCAAAGGAGAAAAGGGGAAGAAAGGGGAGTTATCTTCTGTTTGAGTCACCAGATGTATGTTTTGAGATATTTAGGAAAATCTTGTAGCTCGAGATGTTTTAAATTGCAAATGTCATTTTGAGCTTTTTGAGATCTAATTCCAAGCTTTAGGTTCTTGCTGTTTTGCTATTATTATTATTTTTTTTTCATAAAGATTAAGTTTTCTGATGTAACTGCATTTTGTCAAAGTTTTGAGTTTTTCTGACAATAATAATTCATGTGCTGAAGAAAGATAAGTACAAAAAATGAAATGTGGTGTCTTTATGGTTTTGTGAAGTCATTGATTTGGAGTCAATCCCTATCCAGCATTATGTTTTCTTCACATTTTTGAAGATCTGCTCTAAGACTAGTTTTGTCCTACTTTGGGTACACCTTAATGAAAGTCCCTCGTATTAATACCTTGTCCAGTATTTCAACCATGATCATCAATGGCTGAAATTTCATACCAGAGTATATATGTGATTGATCCAGTGCTTGACTTTATATTTTCGTATGTTAAGTTATTGTCCGACTTGCAATATAAAATTTTATTTCCTTGCGTTGCCAACAAATGTTGTGGTACACAATCTTTTTAATTTTTTAGTTGTTTTGAATAATTTCCTTCTTCCCCTTGTGCCAATGTCTCTAGGAGTCTTATAGTTTAAATGGACATAAAAGATTTAATTGCATATGATGTATGATTGATTGCCATTGTCTAGGTAGTTTGTTTTGTTATGGTTGTTAGAGGTTGAAGTGGAGACAACGTTCTTTCTGATCTCATAATTTTTCTCTCAGAATGCATGATTTTTGTAATTTTGAGTCGAGGCTTTCTGAACATGGCTGTTGATTTTGTTGTTCAGGTAAAAATTGGTCTTCGAGTTCTTACTCGTCCTGTACCAGACCAATTACCTACAATTTATCGGACTCTTGGTGAGAACTATAATGAAAGAGTCCTGCCTTCAATTATTCATGAGACTTTGAAAGCTGTGGTTGCACAGTACAATGCAAGCCAGCTCATTACTCAGAGAGAGGTGCGTGGTAGGCCTTTTTAGTTGATTGTTTACTTTGAAAATTAAAATTTTGAAGTTCTATGCAGCAACATTGCATGTATTAGGATCCATGTTGCAAGTTTGTGTTATTAGTACCTGTTGGCAACCTTATTAGTTAAAAATTAAGCTCATGGCGTGAGAGTTGTTTTATTGTCAGAATTATTTTGGTATTTTTTATTACAAGTGGCTCAATTCATCCTTGTTATATTTTGGCTTCTTGGTATATTTTGTTCTACAAGGTTGAGTAATCAGAATGAAATTAGTACTGGTAACCAAGTTTTTTTCTAACGTGCTTCTGTGCAGAATGTTAGTAGGGAAATACGGAAAATACTGACAGAAAGGGCAGCCAACTTCAACATTGCGCTCGATGATGTGTCCATTACTAGCCTGACTTTTGGGAAGGAGTTTACAGCTGCAATTGAAGCTAAGCAGGTGGCTGCACAAGAAGCTGAGAGGGCCAAGTTTGTTGTGGAAAAGGCTGAGCAAGACAAGCGAAGCGCTGTAATCAGGGCACAGGTGAGAGAAATTATCAATCCTCAAGCTTGGATCCTGATTGGTTTTTTAATTCAACTTTCTGCTTTACTCTTTTTAAGTGAGGAAAATTGTTTAACTGCTCTTGTGGAAATGATAGTATTTCTGATTGTCTGGCATGCTGTTGATGTATTCCTATACTGACACATTAGTATCACCCGATGGTTTCACCTTAGTGAAAGCTTAAACATATGAATACATATTTTGGGGGTTAAGGCAGTCATGATTTATGGGTGAAGTTTGTTCTTTTCCTTTTCACTTTAGTGAAAAGATCATCTTCTGCATGAAGTGGGGTTTTTTTTTTTCCTTGTCAATTTCTTGTTTCTGAATTTTCATATATAGAGCAGTTAGATTCATTCAGTTAAGACATCACCCTCTCTCTTTGGTATCAGGGTGAGGCTAAGAGTGCCCAGCTGATCGGCCAAGCTATTGCCAACAACCCAGCATTTATCACACTCAGGAAAATTGAAGCAGCGAGAGAAATTGCACACACAATCTCAAAAGCAGCCAACAAGGTGTTCTTGAGTTCAGATGATCTGCTGCTAAAACTTCAGGATATGGATTTAACAGGCACCGGTGTGAAGAAATAAACACCTAAAGCCTAAACTTTTGTTACTTTCCCGTTCAGTCTTGCTTCCTACTTTTGTTAAGATGCGGGAATATCTCATCAAAGTCCGCACACTGACATGTGAAATGGTATTCTGTTTCTGGACCCTATCACAGTAGGAAATTTACTTAGCTCGAGATATAACTATCCATTGGGAATTAATCTCCTCTTGAAGTCTTGAAATTGTTGATTGAAATCTACAATCATTTTGACATATTCTATGCTATCCTTGAGTTTTTTTTTTCACTTGAATACTCGCAGTGTGTTACTGGATGAGAAACTAGTTTTGCCGTTTATGATTATTTGGATGAGGGCTCTAGGCAGTTTGATTCTTCTTTTATTGGCAGCAGATGATGCCAGATTGATCCTGTAATGCCGGCCATGAGATGGATGTGCGGCTCCTTTCTTTATTGGTCATTTGGTTTGCAAATGATTGAGTAAATTACATTTGACAGGTTTATCTAGGTTTATATGCATTCTAAAAATGCATTTAGCACAAATGCTCTATAAGTTATTAACTGAATTATAAGGTTGTTCAGCCTAATATCTGTTAAGGTTTATGTTTGGCTTGTTTAACTTCAAGCCGATATTCAACAATTCTTATTGAGCTAATCTTGAGTAGCTCGACTTTTTAGTCTTAAGATGTTAATTAGTTCATCGAGACATATTTGAGCCGAACTCAAACAAATTGACGAATTTACTAATTAGTTCAAGCTTAACTTGTTTATTATATGTGCTGTTCTCATGTCAAATTTTAGTAGACTGTTTCGTGACCTTCCTTAGCAGTTTCTATCACTGGCTATTGGTGATACAAAGGCAGAAAGCATTGTTGGTTGACCATGATCTTAATTAGGGGGCCTTGGGGTCAATTTCAAGAAAGAATGTCTAAATGGCTGAATTAGCAAGGATAACTATCCTGCCTGATATGCTTAGTATTTATAAATAGAGTAGTTACAATGTGATAAGTATTAATTGTTACAACAGAAAGATAAGATAAGATATACAACTATTCAAATATAATTGAACTGTAACAGACTCTATCGACAACTGCCATCCTTTGACACAGGATCCTCTGTTGAGATATTGTTGAGAGTTGGAACTGATCTGATATTCTTAACATCCCCTGTCAAACTAATGGGAGATTCAGTGACCATTAGTTTGTCTTTGAGCAACAAGAATCTTGAAGAAGTGAATCCCTTTGTAAAGACATCTGCTATCTGATCAGCAGTGGTTATGTATTGAGGAATGATGTCTTTGTTAATCACTTTTTCTCTAATGAAATGATAATCAACCTCCACATGTTTAGTTCTAACATGAAAAATAGGATTGGAGGCTAGTGCTAATGCTCCATATTATCACACCACAGCTGTGGAGTAGACTCAATTGAGCACTGCAAGTCTTTGAAAAGCATTATTAACCAATATAACTCAGCTGTTGGAAGGCCATAGCTCTATACTCTGCTTCTGTGTTGGATCTGGATACAACCGGTTGTTTCTTTGCTTGCCATGAGATCAAACAATTGCCTAGAAACACTCCATAGCCACTGGTTGATCTGCTGTCTAGATGATCTCCAGCCCAGTCACTATCACAATATGCTGCCAATTGCAGTGGTCCTAATTTGAAAAATAAGCCATGATCAATAGTGCCCTTTAGATACCTTAGTACCCTTTTTGCTGCTGTAAAATGGACAGTGGTAGGACAATGTAAAAACTGACATAGTTGATTTACTGAATAGAAGATATCAGGCCTTGTAAGTGTGCAATATTGTAGGGAACCAACAATATGTCTGTAAATGGTGGGATTAGGTAAAGGATCACCCTCAAGTTTGCTTAACTTTTGTCCAGAAACACAAGGATCTGAATAAGGCTTGGCTCCAAGCATATTGGTACCATCTAGCAGACCGTAGATGTATTTAGCTTGATTGAGATGCATCCCTGAAGAGGTTCTGTGTACATGGATGCCTAGAAAGTAACTCAAGTCACCCAAGTCCTTCATTTTGAATTTTTTTTGCAAACTTTGAATTAGCCCCATAATACTAGAGCTGTGAGAACCAGTCACTAGTATATCATCAACATAGATGAGCACATAAGTATGTACTGGACCGTTGTGATATATAAATAAAGAAGTGTCCAATAGAGAACCTGTAAAGCCAAGACCATGTAGGGTTTGAGTAAGTCGAGTATACGATGCCCTTGGGGCTTGCTTAAGACCATAGAGAGTCTTATGCAACCTGCATACATGATTAGGAAATGCTCTATCCACAAAACCTTAAGGTTCCATAAAAACTTCCTCATTGAGAAANACGATGCCCTTGGGGCTTGCTTAAGACCATAGAGAGTCTTATGCAACCTGCATACATAATTAGGAAATGCTCTATCCACAAAACCTTAAGGTTCCATAAAAACTTCCTCATTGAGAATACCATGAAGAAAAGCATTGGATACATCCGCTTGTTTGTTAGGCCAGTCAAAGTGTAGTGCAATAGCTAGAAGTAATCAAATGGTGGCCGGTTTTATTACTGGACTAAATGTTTCTGTATAGTCAATACCATCTCTATGTTCAAACCCTTTTGCAACTAATTTGGCCTTATATCTATCAATGGTTCCATCTGGTTTTTGCTTTAACTTGTACACCCATTTTTTATGGATAACATTTCGNTAATTTGGCCTTATATCTATCAATGGTTCCATCTGGTTTTTGCTTTAACTTGTACACTCATTTATTATGGATAACATTTCTGTCTTTGGGTCTCAGGCAAAGGCTCCATGTCTGGTTATCCAGCGAAGCCTGGTATTCACTTTGCATTGCAGAGAACCAATCAGGATTAGATATAGCTTTAGAAAATGATTTGGGTTCACATGGCAGAAAACTGGTATGTAAGGCTTTAACAGGATGATTAGTGGACTTGTTGGAGAGATACAAATGATAGTCAGGGAATTGTTTGGGTTTGGAATTTCCTGTCATGGATCTATTGATGATCTGTGCAGGAGAGAATTCAGGTAAAGAAACAGAGGTTGGAGTGGGAGGGGCGACTATTTCTGAGTCATAAGTAAGGAGTTGTGCAGGAGAGGATGCATGTAAAGGATCTGAGGTTTGATTAGAAGTGGAGGCTATCTCAAAATCAACTGAATTGACTGCTGGTGTGGTTTCAGTATTTGAGGTGGAATTGGTGATAGGGTTAGTCTCAACTCTGAGTTGATTGGAGGGAATGTGATTGCTTGTGAGCATATTCTGAGATGAATGCAGAGGAATCGTGGGAGAATTCAGTGAATAAAAGTGAGAAGGTAAGAGGATAGTACCTGATGGAGAGGATTGTCCTCGAGCACGGTAGAGAGTGTAGCCTTCCTCCTGTGCAGGAAATAAGTTCTCACCAAAGACTACATGTCTTGACATGTAAATTTTATTAGTTTGCAAATCTAGACATTTATAGCCTTTCTGATTGGAACCATAGCCTAAGAAGACACATTTTTTGCTTCTGAATTCCAGCTTGTGTTTGGTGTATGGTCTGAGAAGAGGATAGCATGCACAACCAAAAGTTTTTAGAAGGGAGAAGTTTGGTTCTTTATTAAATAACTTGGTAAGAGGTATCTCAAATTGCAGCACAGATAAAGGAAGTCTATTGATTGAGTGAACTGCTGTATGAAACGCTTCTACCCAATACGTGGATGGAAGATGAGATTGGGTTAAAAGAGTTAGACTAGTTTCACACACATGCCTGTGTTTCCTCTCAACAATCCCATTTTGTTGAGATGTATGAGGACAGGTAAATCGATGATAGATCCCACTCAGTCAGAAATTTGGTGAATAAATTTGAAGTACATTCACCCCCACCATTTGTTTGGAATTGCTTAATTTTGCAAGAGAGTTGGTTTTCAATGATGCATTTACACTTGACAAAACAATCAAACAGATCAGATTTGTACTTTAGAGGACATAACCAAGAATATCTTGAAAAATTGTCAGTAAAGATAACATAATACTTGAATCCGTTTATTGATAAAACTGGTGAGGTTCATACATCACGATGAATCAACTCTAAAGGCCTAGAAGACACACGGTCAGACTTATTAAAAGGTAGATGTTTGCTCTTTCCTAATTGACAGGGCATACATAGCTCTGAGTGGGATTTATTGGATGACACATGTAGCTGGTAGTTTTTAAGAACTCGATGTAGAGTTTGAGAATTAGGATGGCCTAATCTTTTGTGCCAGATATCTGTTGATGCCTTGATTCCAATCAGTGCTACAGATGCCCTTTTATTGGTGACAAACTTATTGAGATGCACATGATATAAGCTGCCTTCACTGGGTCCCTGTAGGAGGATTGCCCAATTCAAGTTGTCCTTCACCAAGAAATAGGAATCAGTTAGTTTGAAGTAGCAATTGTTGTCTTGACAGAATTTTTGGATAGACAACAGATTATTGGAAACATTGGGACAATGCAAAATATCATTTAGATGTAAATCAGAGTTGGGAAGAGGATAGATAGCGGAACCAGTGGGTGCAATATTCAAACCATTACTATTTCCTACAGCTACAGTCTCAGTACCCTGATATGGTTGCTGCAATGCAAGGTTTTCCAAGTCTGCTATGATATGATTTGTAGCCCCACTATCTGCCAGCCATGTTTCATCCTCATGAAAAAGATTGGACTGAGCCACCATTGCTGCAAGTTCTTTATGTGGGTGTTTGCCTTGGTATGCATAGTCCATCCCATGAAAACAGTCCAAGGCTTGATGGTTGGTCCTGCCACAGATTTGACAAGGAGGCTTATTGGTAGCAAACTGATTTGAGGATGATTTACCTTGATGTGTATTTCTGGCTGTAGGGAATGGTTTCTTTTGTGCAAGGTTTTTTCCAAAGTTGGGTTTCTGAGATGGCCCATACTTGGGTTTCCTGTTCTGTTCAGGTCCTTTATTAGAGTGTCCTTTATTAGAGTATAGAGCAAAGGCACTTGACTCAATTGTTGGTGTTTGTGCTGCCA